TTTAACAAATGGTGCTGGCATAACTGGATATCCATCTGCAAAAAACTGAAACAAGACCCATACCTCACACCATGCACAAAAACTAACTCAAGATGGATCAAAGACCTAAATACAAAATCGAAAATAATAAAGGTCATGCAAGAAAAAATAGAGACAATGCTACGAGCCCTAATACATGGCATAAACAAATACAAATTGTAAGTAACAATGCACAAACACCAGAAGAGAAACTAGATAACTGGGAGCTCCTAAATATCAAACACTTAGGCTCATCAAGACTCCACCAAAAGAGTCAAAAGACAACCTACAGAGTGGAAAAAAATTTCGGCTACGACAAATCCGATCAGCATCTAATCTCTAAAATCTGTAAGATACTGCAAAACCTCAACAACAAAAAGACAAATACCCAATTAAAAAACGGGCAAAGGATATGAACAGGCACTTCACTAAAGAAAACATTCAGGCGGCTAACAGACACATGAAGAAATGCTCACAATCATTAGCCATTAGAGAAATACAAATCAAAACTACAATGAGATACCATCTCACCCCAAAGCTAGCATTAATCCAAAAAACACAAAATAATAAATGTTGGAGAGGTTGTAGAGAGACTGGAACACTTACAGACTGCTGGTGGGAATGTAAAATAGTACAACCACTTTGGAAATCAATATGGCACTTCCCTGAAAAGCTAGAAATAGAAGTACCATAGGATCCAGGAATCCCACTCCTTGGAATACACAGTAGAGAAATAAGAGCCGGCACACGAACAGATAAACGCACACCTATGTTCACTGCAGCACTGTTCATGATAGTGAAAAGATGGAAACAACCTAGGAGCCCATCAATAGATGAATGGATTAACAAATTATAGTATATTCATACAATGGAATACTACACAATGATAACAAACAACGATCAATTTGTGAAACATCTTATAACATGGAGGAATCTGGAAGGAATTACTCTGAGTCAATTTAGTCAGTTGCAAAAGGACAAATATTCTATAAGCCCACTATTGTAAGAATTCAGGAAAAGGTTTAAACACAGAAGAAAACATTCTTTGATGGTTACGAGGGTGGGGAGGGAGGAGAGGGGTATTTACTAGCTAGATAGTAGACAAGAACTATCTTAGATGAAGGGAAGGAGAACGCACACAACAGGGGAAATCAGCACAACTGGACTAAACCAAAAGCTAAGAAGTTTCCTGAATACAACCAAACACTTCGAGGGACACAGTGGCGGGGGTCTGGGGACCATGGTTTCAGGAAACATCTAGGTCCACTGGTATAACAAAGTTTATTAAGAAAGTGTTCTGCATCCCACTTTGGTGAATGGCATCTGGGGTCTTAAAAGCCCACAAGTGGCCATCAAAAATGCATCAATTGTTCCCAACCCACCTGGAACAAAGGAAAATGAAGAATACCAAAGACACAAGGAAAATATTAGCCCAAGAGACAGCAAGGGCCACATAAACCAGAGACTCTATCAGCCTGAGACCAGAAGAACTAGATGGTGCTCAGCTACCACCAATGACTGCCGTGACAGGGAACACAACAGATTCCCTTATGAAGCAGGAGAAAAGTGGGGTGCAGAACTCAAATTCTAGTAAAACGACCAGACTTAATGATTTGACTGAGACTGGAGGGACCCTGAAAGACATGGCCCCCGGACTCTCTGTTAGCCCAAAACTAAAACCATTCCCAAAGCCAACTCTTCAGACAAAGATTTAGACTGGACTATGGGACATAAAATTATACTCATGAAGAGTGTGCTTCTTATTCTTAGCTCAAGTAGATACAGAGACTAAATGGGAAGCTCCTGTCCAGAAGCGAGATGAGAAGGCAGAGAGGGTCAGGAGCTGGTTGAATGCACATGGGAAATCCGGCGTGGAAAGGAGTGTGCTGTCACAGTATAGGGAGAGCAACTAGGGTCACAAAACAATGTGTATAAATTTTTGTATGAGAAACTAACTTGAATTGTAAACTTTCACTTAAAGCACAGTAAAAAAAAAAAAAAAACTAGTGCAAGGTAAGGGACACTATAGCCACACTCCTAAGTAACTTGGGACTTAGAATAAATCTGTATGCATGGTCAGCAATGACTGAAAACAACTGGGGTGACAGGAAGAGGTGACCTCAAGCGTATTTCCTGAAAGGGAAGCAAAGGACCTACTGGATCCCCAATGTCATACCCTAAAGTTAACAACAGCTAGGGTCTAAGAAGTCACATCAGGGATGAAACACCTGGCTATTACCACACTGACCACAAATAAGTCTGCAGATTAAAAAGTACTAATAATCCACAACTTTCTTCACTCAGAATCGCTTTGGGAACCCAGAAGTGGCCCAAGAGGAAAATCACAATTGCTCAGTCTTGGTTCTTTAGTTTATATCACTTCAGGAATGGAGGCCAAGCTTCAGCCAGATGATGCCTGTAATTCAACACATGACTGAATTACAGTGGTTCCTCCCCACTAAGGAGCAAAGGCTGAGGAAGGTGCGTGTTTCAAGTTTATTATTCTGATTAATTCAACCCAAGCTGGTAGATATGCTACTGCTCAGATAACTGGTGATTTTACAAAGTTTGGAAATTTGTTCAGCTTTAAGTCCATATTTTGGGTTAAATAAAACCTTTAAGTCATTTGTCTTTGGGTGAGAGAGTAACATCCCCCAGCCCCCAACCAGTCAAATCTTAATTTAGGGCCCTGGATTTCCTTGCCTGGGCATGGAGAGGTCGGTGACTCCATTTTCCAGACAATGGGATTTCATGGCCTCTAAACTCTTCTGTAGGTTTTCGTAAGTTGGTTTGTGCGAAGCCCTTTTCTTTGTAATCTGAGTACAAAGAAAGGATTCAAACTTTCATTAGTCCAAAATGATAGCCAATGAAAAGCCATCACCACATTCCCCCAACATTCTGATTAAAAAAAAAAAAAGTTGCCGTTGAGTCAATTCTGAGTCACAGCAACCCTACAGGACAGAGTACAACCACTCCAGTTTTCAAGGAGCAGCCGGTGGATTCAAACTGCCAACCTTTTGGATAGCAGCTGCAGCGCTTAACCACTACGCCACCAGGGTTTTCAAGCATCCTGATAATTACAATAAATTTATTTCCAGTTAGTCTAGAGCAGGGATGGCAAATGTCATACTGCCCCTTTCATACTGTTAAGGGAGGCCCTCAGGAAAATCGTCTAGAGCCTGAGAAACCCAGACGCTGCCATGTAATAATCTTTCCATTTCCTAGGAAATCCGTGAGATTAACAGGCTGTGCCTATTGGCCACTGTTTTTAAGTAATGTAGACAAAAAGTCTTTGTGCTACTTCCAAAAGATAAGGTGCATACGTTTAACAAGAAGCCATACCACTTGAAAATTCCCTGCTAAAAAAAACCTCTATTAGAAACTGTGTTTGCTTTTTCATTTCTCTATAAAACAATAAGGAGAAACTAGTAGTGTCTCAAACACGCTAAAAAGATTGGAACTCACCAGAGCCCCCAATGTCAGCCTTGAAGACAGCATTCAAAGGGCAGAACATGTCCCCTACTCAGTTTGCTGTCCATATCAGGCTTGTAGTGGGCTGACTGTAAGTCACCCAACACCACTTCTAAGGAAGCTACAGCTTTTTGGGGGCTGCAGACCACTCGGACAATTGAAGAATCCCACATTCAGGCAGAGAGCCAAGGAAGAGCTAGGTATTACCTGGCATTGCATTTGACAGGGAATAATGAGAGAAAAACTCCTTTGTCCAAACTGTCTCGAGACATCATTGTTTCTATCTCACCATGATTAAAAAAGAATTAAAGTACAGTTTGGCTTAGAGATTCGGGAGCCATCCCTAACTTCTGCACATGCCTAGGACACATGTCTACAGTGGATGGCACAGTACTCTCTCCCCCACAGCCAAAATGCAACCTCACATTCCTCTCTAACAGTGCTCCAGGAGCCACTGCCACTGGATCTGAGCTGGCATGACAGTGGAAGCATTTTGACATCCTTGGTTGTCTAGAGTAGAGCATCATGATCAACACAAATGCAGTGAAGCCCATCTGTTCACTAATACTTAGAACATATTGAGAATTGGCCCCATCTTACCAGGTAATATATATATCGCCCATCTCTCTTCAGAACAGCCACTTCTCCAGATTTCTTTTCTAACAAATAAAGTTATTTAATATTAGAAAGGAAAAAGAAATCAAAATGCCAATCTCCATTCTTAAGATTTTTTTAATCTTTACAGATCTGAGTTTCTCTCTCAGAACTAGAAATATTGTCAACTCTGAAGAAACCTACTGTTTCCTAGGAATACTGTGCTACTTCAGCCTTTCTAAATAATATGTCTTAACTTTCAGCTTTCTTGCAATCATATTTTCCTCCCACCTCATCTTTTGTCCTGCCCCTAATCGCCAATATACTCTTTCATCTCCACTTAAAAAACTTTAATGTTTATTACCTTGAAATTCTGGTTTAGAACATACAGCATTTTTTACTTGCCAAATGTGTTTTCATTCAATAATTAACTTTTTACATACAAACAGCTGTGTTAAGTATTATGGGGAACACAGATGAGTAAAAAGGTTTCTAATTACCAAGGAGTTTTCAATACAGAAAAGGTGTCATGTTTACAAAAAACACCACAAATCAGTAAGAAATCACTTTTGTCTAAGGCTGGGATCGGAATCATTGGTGGAGATTAATTCAGAAAGCCTGGAATGTGGTCTGAACAACTGTCTGTATGGTTTCAAAAGCTCCATATATCTCTAATGCACACTTCTGGCTTAAAATCACTGGTAAAAAGTGATGGGGGAGAGGGAGTTAAGGAAGAAGAATTTCTAAACTCCTCTTTGAAGAATGAGGAGAGTAGCAGTAAATAAAGAATCTTGACTGCTATGGACTTTGCTACTTCACAGTTATTAAAGATTTCAGGGAAGTGGAGAAATACTATCAAAAAAAGTATACAAAGTTTTATGTTAGCGGAAGAAGAGATCAGGAACTTTTACAAAATTCATGTTTGGTGAGATAAGGGCCCAAACTAGATGTCATTCTTGTGGAGGAAAAGCTTAATCTGAATAGCTAAATGTACTCAGTGGTTAGGATCAGCGGCAGATTATCCAATAAGCAAGGCAAGCGTAGTGCTTACCTTGCTTACCAGATCATCTGAACAATTTTACATTTTTTTTCACATCAGATTCTGCTTCTAGGTATGGCTGGCATCTCACTCCCAAACCACAGCACCCTCCTACAGAATCAAAGACTCTTTTTAAATTTACAATTCCTGACAGGGACAAATTATCCAGTAAGCACAGATAAGCACTTACCTTGGATAATCTGCCCCTGGTTAGGATCCCCCTTTTTGCATTCGTATCCTTTCAAATAAAGTATAAGAGGAAACAAAAGATGTTCTAGCCGGAGAACATATACACTGTTTTCAAAACTCACGTTGACTTAACAGTTCCTGTACCCCTCCAAATTTCTTCTTGAATAGGACGGCTATCCCAGCGCCCATACGACAATCCTCACTGATGCAGTGGGCTAAAGAGTCTGTTTTGGGGCATGCAAAAAGGTCTCCTTTTATATATGTGATCTAAAATGTGTAAAAGAAAATGTCTTATTAGATACTGAAAAATACTAAGCTACTTCTTCCATTTTCCTTTACTCCAGGCCCCCCATCACTACCTTTCCCCACACCTCACTAATCTGACTTAAAAGCCAAATTCTCAGAATTTAAGGAGTTAACTACAACGAATTAAAGCATGCGTAAAGCAGTGATGGATGGTCCCTGACTAGGATTGTATTAGCCTTTCTAAAGTAAATCAGCTAAAGAGAAAAAGAAAAGATAATTCAATTACTGGATTAAAAAGTGTTTATGTTTTGACCTCAATTATTCTGAATTTCAGTTCACCAATAAGTTAATAGTTTTTACGCACTCTGCTTCCTTCTGAATCTTCATTAGGACTGCCAGCCATGATACTAAGTCGCTATTTCCAGAATGTGTTTCTTCAGCTATAAAAGGGGAAAAGGAAATAAATATGCTTAACCCAAAACCAAACCAGTTGCCATCGAGTAGGTTCTGACTCATAGCGACCCTACAAGACAGAGTAGAACTGGCTCTATAGCGTTTCCAAGGAGCGGCTGGTGGATTCGAACTGCAAACCTTTTGGTTAGCAACCAAACACTTTACTGCGCCACCACGGCCCCGATAAATATGCTTAGGCAATCTGAAATATGTTGATTGCCCTGACCACTTACTCATTTAACTTCTTCTCCAAAATTTACCACTAAAGGTGAGTTCGCTCAGCCCCTAGAGGTAAGACAAAACTCTTCTGGGGCAAGGAAGAAGAAGGGTACCTATGTTCGGGGGCTACCTTGACCCACTCTCATCTCGCGCTTCTGGAGTGGAACGCTGCGCCAGCGGAAGCAAAGGCGGCCATAAGACACGCCTCCTCCTTTCTCCACACCCACTCCGGAGCGAAACCAATTTAGGATGGTCTTTTACTCTGCACGACGCTAAAGTACCTCCCCAGTGGGTTTGACGTACAAGAAAATGGGAAGGACCTCACTACAGTCTCAATAAACCGCAACAAGAAGTGTACGGGCCAGGGCGTGCTGAGTTGCAGGCAGGGGGAGAGAAAAGGCGGCCTCTCAAGGAAGGTTCACCCTGTTTTATTGAGGTGGGAGAAGACTAGGGAAGCCTCCCTTCTCTGTCCGCTACTCTGGGGAGGGGAAGGTCAGCGAGGGCGTAGGATCTGTCCTGAGGTCCCGTTGTGGACGTGGGGAAACTGGCTCAAAGCCCTAACGTTACCGGGGTCCCCCTTCACCTGGAAAGGAGTCAGCCGCTAGGAACTCCCCGCCCCGCGAGAAAAGGCTCCGGATCCGGCCCTGGTAGGTGGGGAGCAAGGGACGAGCCCAAATGCGGAGCCAATCCCGCTACACACCTATTTGTACGCACCTAAAATGGCCGCCCACCACCCGGTAGCGGGGCGAAGAAAGCCCCTCTAGCTAGCTAGCCGAGACGGTACTCTTTGGTAATGGCCGCCGAACTTCCGGCGGTAAGTTCCGTGGAGTTTCCAGCCGCCGCCCGGGCATGCGTAACGAGACAGCTGGCCGCGAGTTGGGAAGAGCGGCGCTTGCGCATTAGCACCAGGGGTGTGTCTCCAGTGGCCGCAGAGAAGTGGGTGGGCAGCTAGTAAATGGATTAGTTAGCGCCTGCGTGATAATATGTTAAGGGCGGTGTTTAAGTTGAAGTGTCCGACGCGCCGTGAAGGCGCCTGCGTATTCTTTCGGCCAGGGGTGGTGTCAAATCAGGGAAGTGGGCGTGGCTTCCTGGGACGCCTGCGCGATGCTCCTGCAGCTGGGGGTGGGGCGAGCCCAGAACTGAGGTTAGGGGGCGTGGCCCTGGGAGCGCCTGCGCGGAGACGGTTGGAGGGAGGCCCGATTCCCCTTTGTTCGTGTTCGCCATTTTGCGAGGCAGCGGCAGTGGTGGCGGCAGCGGCGGCTGGAGCCTCTGATTGGGTTTCGGGGTCCGGTACTGGAGCCAATCAGCGCGGGCAGCGAACCGGGGGAGCGAGGCACGGTGAGTGTGAGGAGCCAATATCCAGCGGCCCAGAGCCGGCCCCAGCGCCCCGATTGGCGGGTCTCGCTGACCACTCAGGAGAGGCCCAGGCGCCCGTCGGGCCCGGGGAGTCGAGCGGAGCCCAGCCGAGCCGGGCGGTCGGCGGCTGTGGCCCGGAGTCTGCGACCGCGTCGGGGCACTCCCGGCCGAGGCCTGCAGGGGGCCGCCCCGTGCGGGAATGGCGCCCCTGGGAGCAGGCACCTCGGGGTCCCGACCTTTGCAGGGTGCCAGTGCCAGTTGGGGATGCATTCGCTTTCCCCCGAGCTTTAGGCCAAGTTTTCAGGTCCCAGGCCCAGGGGATGGCTTGCTTGCCACGAATGCCCCTACGCTCAGGTACACACGCGCCCCGGGCCTCGGCAGTTTTCTCCTGGTCGTTCCGGCCTCACAACTCAAACCCGCCTTTGCGTTCTCCGCGCTCCGGCCCTCGGGACGGGCACTCTCCCCCCGCGGGGCCTTTGCTCCCCCTCACCCCAGCTCTCCGTGAGCCGGGTCTGTCTGTCTGTCGGTTTGCAACCCCCCTAGGCCGGGAGGGAGACCCGGAGTAGACGCGCGCCTTGCCCACAGGGCCCCAAGTGAGGCGGGGATAGGGCCGGCCCGCCCCCGCCGTCTCCCTGGTCCTGGTAAGGGTCCGTTAGCGCGTCCAGTGTCCCGCCGCGCCCCTCCTCTCAGCCCGCTCGCCCCGGCTCTTCGGCCCCGCGCCGTTACCACCCCCTTTTGGCTCGTCATTTCCTCTCCTCCCCGCCCCGCTCGCCGGGGCAGAACCGCACACCTCCGTCTGGGAGCCCAATCGAGCGGTCTCTTTTTCTTGCTCGGGTTGTAAGGCCAGTCCACGCGGTGCCTGGAACCTCACTCTTAAAAGATTGATAGCCCTGCGTATTCTTTTTCCCGGAGGCTGCGTATAACTTCTTTTCATATTAGTGGTATCCATTGCTTATTTTGTGAACTCTCCTTCCCTTGGGAATAGACTAATTCTTTAACCTTTCTGCATTGCTTTGAATGTGTCAGGCTTGACTCAGTCCATAGTCATCTCTTAGATTGTTTTTTCTAGTATGCTTTCTAATCCCGTGTTAGCGTTTTTCCATTACATGTTTATAGAATTAACAGTGGTGTGGCGTTTTCCTTAGGGTGAGAGAAAATCTCCGTTGGCAGCTAAATATTGAGCAGTTAGTATGTGCCAGACATCGATCCATGTGATGGGGAGGGAGAAGGCAAGAGTAAATGAGAACCATTCCTGCCTGGTAGAGATTGACAGGGGAACAACTAATGCCTAACGGTTAGTGCTGTACAAGGACTAAGCTTAGAGTCCTGTGGGAGTACTTGTGTGTAAGCTAGCAACAGCCTGGGTTAAGGCTTAACACGACCACACTTTTAATTGGCCTTGAAGGACGATGAGATTTCTTCAGACAGAAAAGAATGGAAGAGGATTGCTGGCAAAGAGAAACATATGCAGAAGCTCAGTATGTTTGAGGTGGAAGATAGGATGCGACAGTAGGAAAGTTTGGACTGGAAAGCCCATTGGTAAAACGCCCTGTATATCTTGCTAAAGACTTTTTAGGAAGAAGTTATTCTGTCTGGAGGTTCAGGTAGAAGAGATCTAGAAGAAGTTTTTTTTTTTCCTAAGATTGAAAAACAGGTTTCTGACTTGTACCTCATAGCAGTGGCTGAATTCTTTTGAGGGAGAAAAGGAGATTTTTCTCTCAGGAGTTTAAAAATTCTTTTCACTATTGTGAAGTCCCTAGTGCAGTCCCTGGCACATAAAGTAGGTCTTCAGTACATGGTGCCTGTTTTTTATAATCACGTTTACTAAGGTCATACAACTGGTAAGTTCCAGAAGACACCTAGTTCAATGTTCTTTCCATTACTAAAACTTTGAGGACAGTTTTTGTTTTCACCTTTTAGAATAAGTTTTTTTTGTTTTTTTTTTTTGTTATTTTAATCATTTTCTAAGTTGATTTTATCCTTAACATTATCCACATTAATAGATGGGGCAATATGACTTAAAAATGTTTTTGTATTTGCCCTTGGAATAAATGGTTTAACTTTGGTATTTAAAGATGGGTACATCTGGTCTCTTCAAAACCAGTAAACACTTTTGCCAGACATTTTTTTAAAAGGCAGTTATGGTCTGGTCACTTCTTTGCTAACCAGCTCTAGAGCCTCCACTTGTCTGCAGAAGAACTTCTTAGCCTGGCGTTTGAGAGACAAGTGTGACCTCTGTGTCCAGGTGGCACCAACCGAAAGGTTGGCAGTTAAAACCCACCCAGAGACTCCTGGTCTGCTTCTGAAAGGTCACACATAGTCTTGAAAACCCTGTGGAACGCTGTTCTACTCTAACACATGGGGTCGTCATGAGTCAGAATTTGTTTTTTTTTTTTTTTTTAAGTCTGATCTCTAGCTTGCTCTTGACGTGGGGCCTTTTAGTCTGCTGTTCATGTACTGAAATTTTTGTCCTTGTGTTTCTGTTGCTTCCTTCACTTGGAGTATTCCACCCCCTCCAGCATCGTCACATACCTGAATCCTCACATTTAAGGCAGTTCAAACGATACCTTTTCCTAAAGCTTTCTTTGGTTTATTCCAGTTGGGAGAAATCTCCATTCTCCAAACTCCCACATAACTTTCTTTCTTCTTAGAGTTCCAGTTTAGGTTTTTACTCCTTTATTAAACTTAAAGACACTTTGAAGTTAAGATTTTGGTCAGAATTTTCTTTCTATCTCTAAACATTTAGGACAGTGTCTGGCACTAGGTACATCAATTTGCAGAGAGAAGGAGCAATTAGGACTCTCTAATCCTGAAACCTCTGTAGGATGATGGGGAAGCTGGGCAACACTTTGTTCTCTGGTCTTTATCCAACACATATTAGGACTTATTTGTGGATTGTGACATCAGTTTAGTTGGTCAATGGTACTAATTTTTTACAATAAAATAGAAAATTCCAAGGTGCATCTTATGTTACATAAGGATAAATTTTGTTTCAGTTACATGTTTATATATGTGTTACCAGTGGTGTTCTGAAATGTGTTTCTTACTGTAGGTTGTGGTCAAAAAAGTCTGAGAGCTACTGTTCTAGTCTTTGCCAGATGTGATGGTTAAGGTTGTGTGTCAGTGGTTTGGTGGTTATGATGTAGTTTGGCAGCTATGTAATGATGTGATCACTTCCATAAGGAGATTTGATATAATGTAATCACCTCTGTGATGAGATCTGCTATGAGCAGCCAGTCAGTTGAAAGGGGAGTTTCTTTGGGAATGTGGCCTGCATCCTATGCATGTGGCCTTTTTGGCAAAGCTCGCTGGCTTTTGCTGGCTCTGTGTCCTGCATCTGACCTCCAGTTCTTGGGACTTGAGCTAGCAGCTTACCTGCCAATCTTGGGATTCATCTGCCCTGCAGCTACGTGAGTCAGGAGAAGCCTCCTTGCTATAAATTCTGCATGCACTCACAAGCTCGCTTTCTTTCTCTGTATGTCTACATGCATATGTATATATACATACATACATGCACTAGTTTTGCTTCTCCAGAGAACCTAGCCTAAGACACCAGGTAACCAGTAACCAGAAGCTGTCAAGTCGATTCTGACTCATGACAACCCCATGTATGTCAGAATAGACTGTGCTTCAGAAGGTTTTCAGTGGCTGGTTTTTCAGAAGTAGATCACCAGACCTTTCTTCTGAGGTGCCTCTGGGTGGACTCAAACTTCTAACCTTTTGGTTAGCAGCTGAGTGTGTTAACTATTTGCACCAACCACAGACTCCTTTTTCCAGGTAGTGATTGTCAAATATGGTAGTCCGAGGGGCTTTTCCTATGCTTATACTTGATGTCCTGAAAGTTGTAACTTTAAAATGTGTGTAGGTCCACATCGAATGGTTTCCCAGTGGTTGGCTACATGTCAGCTTCTCTACCTTGAAAGGCAGGCAGATGCTCTGGAGAGAATTTTCATGCTAACCGGAAAAAAAACACACTCATTCTCCCTGTCTGTCTCTCTCTTTGAGACAAAAACATTCAAGCCTTTGTGTTAGGCATAAAAGGAAGGCAGACTAAATCTGGCTGAATTAATTTTGTCAGGAATTTGGGCAGAGCCAGAGAGGCACTTGAGGAAAGACAGTGTGTCAGATTGTATTGCACCTCTGCTAACCGAAGCTCACAGTAGTAGGAACATATGGCTCTTGAAGAGCAGCATTCACTATTAGTCTAAGTATCCCAGGCTGAATTACTTCCTCATCAATGTGGAATTGCTGCTAGATTTGAAGCTGCTTCCGTTTTTACCCTTCAAAACAGTGGATTTAAATGTCCACAAATTAGTGTGTTTGTATTACCAGGATAAATTAGTGAGGAAGAAAAGCTGCATGACATTATATTTATTAGTCATTACCACGTGCTTCAAATTCTGTTTTAGTCTTGTAAGATGTAAATTCCTGGAAAACAGTAGGGAAATTCTCGTACAGGAAATAAGTGTGCATTTTTATGAGTTTTGACAAATTTATGTGCCTGTGCAACCACCACAGTGCAGATAGAAAATGTTTTCATCACTCCCAGAAAGTTCTGGATGTTCCTCCTGATCACTCTCTTTTCCCTCTCCCTCCATTATCCACTCCCAGGCAACCACTGATCTGCTTTGTCTCTAGATTATTATTATTTTTTCAGGGTTTCATAAAATGGAATCATATATACTCTTTTGTATTATGACCCTTAATTTCATTAGTTAGCACGCATAAACTAATTGTGTGTGCTACAGTTAGAGACAAGACAGAGTTCGGGCGGCCTGTTGGCTCTCCTGGCAGGGCCACTTCACCTGGTTGAAAACCCAATTTTCAGCACTATACCCAGAATCTCTCAGGAACTGACTCAGTCACCCAGTTCAGAGAATGATGAAAAAATCAGTTTGTCAGTATGCAGAAGAAATAACTATCAAGTTTACTTGTGTTGCTGGTCATATTTGCTCCCTGTTGGCTAATCTACATGGAAATCCAAATCTAAAAATTTGCTTGGTAAGCATTCCATTAGAGCAAGGACAGTGAGTTGGAGAAACCATATGGCCATAGGCCATTGTGCTGTGATGGCATAGCCATTTTGTCACTTAATTGTGGTTCTTAACACTCGTATTGCATACTGTTTTGATTATGAGTCTTCATAAGCTTGATTATTTTTTATTTTTCCCAACATTTTACTGTGAAAATTTTCAAACGTAAAGTTGAAAGAATTTTACAATAAACACCTGTATACCCACCAGCTAGATTTTACCTTTAATATTTTACTGTACTTGCCTCGTCACATACCATTGATCTGTCTTTTTTTTTTTTTTTATTCTTTTTAAAGTAAATTTTAGGCATCAGTATACCAGTCTACCAGTTAGTGTTGAGTCAACCACCCTGTGTGTTTCAGAGTAGAACTGTGCTCCATAGGGCTTTCAGTGGCTGATTTTTCAGAAATAGATTTCCAGAGTTTTCTTCTGAAACACCTCTGGGTGAACTTGAACCTCCAACCTTCTGGTTAACAGCTAAGCACCACCCAGGGACTCCATTAAAGTATATGTATAACCAAACCAAACCCATTGCTGTTGAGTTAATTCTGATTCATAGCAACCCCATAGGATAGAACTGTCCCATAGGGTTTCCAAAGCTGCAGATCTTTACGGAAGCAGACTGCCACATCTTTCTCCTGCGAAGTGGCTGGTGGGTTCAAACCGTCAACTTTTCAGTTAGCAGCCAAGTGCTTTAACCACTGCTTTATTAGGGTTCCTTGTTGAAGTGTATGTTGTTGTTAGGTGCCGTCAAGTCAGTTGCGACCCTGTGTACGACACAACAAAACACTGCCTGGTCTTGTGCCATCTCACATCATTGCTATGTTTGAGCCTGTTGGTTGAAGTGTATACCTGTGGCCAACGAGTCGATTCTGACTCATGGCGACCCCCTGTAGGATAGAGTAGAACTGGCCCCATAGGGTTTCCAAGGAGCTGCTGGTGAATTCAAACTGCCGCCCTTTTGGTTAGCAGCCATATATCTTAACTGCTCCACTGCCTCATTGCTATGTTTGAGCCCACTGGTTGAAGTGTATGGGAAGGGTAAATTTGAACATTGATGGGATATTTGATGACATTAAAGATTTAATGATTTTTTAATGCGTGAAAACGATATTGTGGAGACAATATCATCGTGATAAAATGATAGACAAGAGTCTTTATTCTTTAGCAATATATGCTGAAATGCTTAATAGATTTTCAAAAAAAATTTACAATTTTCAAAATAATTTGATGTCTGGGATTTGCTTCAGAATCATCCAGAGGATGGGGTGGAAAGTGGGTGAGGTATAAGTAAAACCAGTTTGGCCACAGGTTGAAAATTGTTGAAGTTGGGTGGTGGGTAAGGGTATTTATTATGTGGTTCTCTCTACTTTTGTATATATTTGAAAATTTTCATAATGAAAAGTTAGAATTATACAATAAAAAGGTGAGGTGTTATTAGGCATTCGTATTCAAGACTGGGGAAAGTCTGAAGCTCCTTTTAGAGAAGATCACAGGTTCAGTAAATAATTTTAAGGTTTTTCTAGTATCTAATCTGTAAGTATCTTGTTAATATAATTTATTTTTATTCCTTGTCCTTGGTTGAAATGCAGACTCCTAAACCTTTGAGACTGCCTAGCTAAGACGGTTCTTACTTAGCACTACTTAATAGAGCTTCCAATAAGCAAATGTAGCAGACTACAGTAACATGTCTGGTGGGCAGCAAATATTTGTTATGATTTAAAGAGATTTGTTTCCTTTCTAAAGTACCTGGAATCAGGGTAAAGTAAGCCTTTTAACAAAGCAATATTGTAGCTTAATTGAGTATTTTTAAAGGGAGGGGTTGGTCTGGTAATATTAGGGAATAAGGTTGCCAAAAATAAATGATTTAAGGTACTGTGAAAATAGCATTATGGGATCTTTGTTATGATTATCCTTTGTAATCCTAGTTTAAAATGATAGTAAAGGTAAACATTTCCTATTATCTTACCCTGTTTTCTTGTAAACAAAATACAGTGATAAGTTATCAGTGTTAATTGTCTGCCAAGGCCTTTGTTGACAATCTAACTTGAGTTTCTCTCCGAACCTTTCTAATAGGAGTACAGCTGGAAGTCCTTTGGCATCTCCAGAGCAAAGCTCACTGTGGACGGGATTCTAACATGGAGCAGTATACAGCAAACAGCAATAGTTCCACAGAGCAGATTGTTGTGCAGGCTGGACAGATTCAGCAACAGGTATGGAAGTAAAACGCCTTGAAACGTCACAGCAAGGGAGCTAATAACAGCACCATTCAATTGGTTGGTATATTACTTTGGGGAATTATTTGAAAAGTCCTTCATCTTGTCAAATAATTGGATTTGAGGACTTGTGCTAAAATGTTTTTTGAAGATTAGATTTGTTGTGATTTCTCTCCTGTTCTCTCTGTTCAGAACTCTATATCCAGTCCATGACCACTTAGAATCTATTTTTCTTGGAGGCCTGACTTGATAATAAATCACCCTTTTTCTGTCATTAAAAGTCAAAACATCTAGTATGTTTTCAGATAGAAATTTGGAGTTGGGTTTTTGTTTGTTTTGTTTTTTTCCCCTAAATACAATTTGGTTGTTTCTCTTCTTGATTGTGTTAGCAAGTGGTTGGCCACAATAAGCAAGCCAATATAGTCAGCTTCCGAGAAATCCAGTGTTCTTTCATTGGTCCACCACAGTGCTTATTCTGAAAAGCTCCAATTTAACATCAGGATAATATTTAGACAGCCTCTCTTATGGATAAACACTTATTAAAAAGGAATTCCTTGCCGCTGATTTATCCCAAATTAAGATAAGTTACTTTCTTGATTTATACCCAAATTACATTGTCTAATGCTTTGTATTTGGTCTTATTTAGTAAAACTTATTTTTCCTTTTGGAAGAAAAGAAGAAATTTATTATGTTTTAATTTGACTTTTAGCCAAGCTTGATACCTTAGAATGTTTTGTTTCTAAAATAGAACTTACCTAATTTAGAAAAGTAGTTGGTAGGAAAGGCAGAGGAAGTTTTGATGAATTGTTTCTATCTGTTGATCAAAGGAAGGAGCTATCTTGATTAAAAGAGATAAATTATTTAAGCTTTCTTGCTGGCTTTCCCTTCTACATAGCTGCTGTGGCTCTGGCAGCTTCCTTTAGCTGCCCTCTGAGAGAACAGATTTCTATAAAGGGCCCTCCATTCAGACCAGTGCCCTGGTGGGTGAATTTTTGATCTGCCCAAACCTACCACTAGAGGATATAAAAATTAAATTGATTCACTGAAAACATTGCTTCTATGGCAGTCCAGTTGGGTAGAAATAATCTTAGTTTTGGAATATAAGAGCAGTGACCTAATGAAGATGATTTCGGCTAACAGTGATTGGTTCTTCCCTTCTGGGTGATATCACTTAAGCCCCAGAAATTCTTCATTGTAGTGTCAATTACGCTTCATTGTAGTTTTCTTGGGAACTCATTTGAAGAAATAAAAAGAGCATTAGAATGACTGTGTAAGCAGAAGGATCAAATGCCTATTTCTGGAGGGAAGAACTGCATTACAATTTTTTGTGTTAATGATGAAAACTATTTTGACCTTTTTGAGTCATGGAAGTGTGTTTTGAGTTCCTGTCTGGGAACAAAGGGCTAATATCTTTGGTCCTACTACCTTCCACAAAATAGCTTCAGTATAATGAGTCTGTACAGTTTGAAAGTCCTGTGTAGGGTGGGACTTTTGAAAGAAGACTTCACTCCCTCACACAAGAGGTAAGGTGATCTCATGTCTTGAACTATACATTTCCTTCCTGACACATCTCAAGCTCTTCCCGTTCCTGTTCTCAGCAGCAGGGTGGTGTCACTGCCGTCCAGTTGCAGACTGAGGCCCAGGTGGCATCCGCCTCAGGCCAGCAAGTCCAGACCCTCCAGGTAGTGGTGCCCTCTCTGATTCTCTGTGAGCACTGCATGACCTTTTCGCCTCATGTCTGGTGCTGTTTGTATTTGGATCTCAAGTAGGAATGGCAAAGTCGGTTGCATGTCTTCAGTGCTGCTAACTTGTCTTGAAGCTTATACGATGCTAGATTCCTAATGTTTCATGCAGTCATGTAGTGACCCCTGCATCAGTTTCTGAAAACCACATTTAGCTTGTGTGTTTCTTTGGGAATGCCTGAAGAGGAAATGGTACAAGTGACAGGAAGAAATTCTTACAAGTGGGATTAGATCCTACTCAGAGTTCAAACTGTCTAACAAGATTGCATGGTTAAATTTCATGAATTTGTGTTAAAATAGTGGAGAAGAAAATATATATGTATATACCTGTATATTAAATAGGCTTAATGTTTTACTAAAAGGTCAGCTGAGCTGCAAAATAATCATTGCACTTGGCAAGGTTTTTCTAATAACTGAATCTTGTTAATCTCTTGTTAACTGTTGTCTTTTCACTACCTTTCCTCTACCTTTCCTGGGGAGATAGTGACCTGTTTTATTATTGGATCTGTGACAATTACCCCATGCCTCTTGATTGGGCAAGGATGGATATGCTTTCTATAAATCTTAGGTGTGATGGCTACTATAAGAATTCTTAGTTAACCAATAGCAGTTCCTTAACATTATCTATGGCCAAGTTAAGTATCCTAAAGTTGGGTCATAAATTTGGTCATTGCCTATATGCAATAGTCTCTGTGTCTGCAGGTTGCTTTGATTAAAGTCACCGTATTTTTTGGCAAAATTTGGGTGCCTTACCCTTTTTCTTCCATTGATTTGGAAGTGATTCAAAGTAGAACCTATAATGTAGAACTGGCATCTCACTTTATTACTAGACCTATTAAGCATCCTGCAGTTAACTACCCCTTTTTGTAATCATTTCACTTTATCCTTTCAGGCTTCCTCTCCTCTGCAACTAGTAGTGTTTAGTAATGATATACAGCCAGTTCTGAACATAAATTTGACTGAAAGACACTGAGCTTGCAGCTGCTCCCTAATAGATTTGAATCTCAAGAGTTCAGCATCTTGTTATTCGTATTATTCATGCTTGCTTCATCTTATTGACATATAAAACAGTATTTTAGATTGCCATTAACCACGTGTGGAATGGGAATGTAACGTGCTCTTAACTGTATGGCTTCTTGTCTGATGCATGTGTCCTTGTAATCATTCATATGTTGTAAATACAGTGTGCTCCTTGGAGTCCCAAAGCATTTATTGTGTGCACTGTAGCATGCCAGTGAGGGGAGAAATTAAGATGATGGGTGGCCAGAAGATTATTAATAGTTGTGCCTGAAAACTTGTCTTTGCTATTTATAGATTTGATTTTAAAGAAATGGAAACACTTTATGGAAATAATGGAAATCTTTCTCTAGGGATCTCATTATTTTTGGAGAATTTTAAGTAGTTCCTTTAGTTATTCATACAATAAATATTCTGAAAAATCTTTCCAGATACAGCTTATTCAAGCATTGGTGTAGCAAGAGGAATTTGATTTGGAATATAGAAGTAAGGGAAGGAGAAAGCATACAAGAATCTGGCTGTAAAGTCCTTAAAAGTCAAGTGGAATTTTTCCAAGGGACAGTTTAACAAAACCTAGGATTTGAATTTCTTCGTGATTCTGATATGTTGGTGGTGGTGGTAGGAGGAGAGGGGGCCTTAATAACTAACCTATACATCCAGGAATATTGATCTTTTAACTAGTTGCTATTATTTAAATGAGCCCTGGTGGTGAAGTCATTAAGAGCTCAGGCTGCTAACCAAAAGGTTGGCAGTTTGAATCCACCAGCTGCTCCTTGGAAGCCCTATGGGGCAGTTCTGCTCTGTCCTGTAGGGTCACTATGAGTTGGAATCAACTCAACAGCACACAATAACAACAATTGTTTAAATACATTTTCACTAGCTTTAAGAATGAATGATTTTGTCAGATAAATAGATTTTGTTGTTGTTGTTCTGTTACAAATAATTACCAAAAACAAAGGTAGAACCTGAAAAATGAAAAGTTTTGGACTGTTAACTATTCTCTTGACCATTCTAATTCATATCTAAAGTGGCTTATTTTTTGACCGCCAGAAAGCATTCTGATAGCTAAGTATTTTTTTTAACTGGGACTCAGGATGTTACAGAGCACTTGGAATGCTCTGGCTTCTAAAGTAGTCTTTACTCAGAGGAGTGTGAAAGTTGGGAATTTTATTTGTACACTTGATTATTATGTGTAGCTTCAATAGTTGTCATAATTAGGTTGATATTACAAGGTCCGTTGTGAGGAACTTCACCTTGGAAATTGCAGAAGAAAGCATCTCCAGTCGGTCTTTGATAGTGGGCTATTTTAAACAACAAACGTGTCTAGAATTCTCAGAATGAATAAAGAGGGTAAAAGGTGTACATTTCATTTATGCTTGAGAGGCTGTGGGAACATAAGCTGTTGGAGCTGCTTCCTACCCAGCCTCCTGCAGTCATTGCTGGGCACAGTTTGATTTACTCCCTCCAGGTTATTTAGAATTTATACTCAGCCACCATTGCTACCATCACCTTTCCCTCTCATTGCTTCTCTAGCCATCCCTAGAGACCATTCCTGGCTATTGATCTAAAAAGGCAAATAGCCTTCACATTTTGATTAAATGTTTGTCATGAGGTTAGCCTGTGTTTGGTGATAAATACCTTATATCTATTGAGACTTCCCAAGGACTCTGGATATACTCCATTATATCTGACTTAAACTGTTCAATTTAGCATTTCATCAAAGATACCATGAATATTTGAAGAAGATAATTTGAGGGCGTTAGGTCTTACTTTCTTAGTGTCTCTCCTACCTTTTCCCCCTCTAGCAAGGCAGCAGAATAATTCCAGTTATTATCTTTTGGTAAAAGCCTTTTTGTGTCTCGTGTTATTTCATTGTTCATATTTTATTACATTCTAGGTCCAGGGGCAGCCATTAATGGTGCAAGTCAGTGGAGGACAGTTAATCACATCGACTGGCCAACCCATCATGGTCCAGGCTGTTCCTGGTGGGCAAGGTCAAACCATCATGCAAGTACCTGTATCTGGGACACAGGGTTTGCAGCAGGTGAGTGGTATAAAAAAAAAGTTTGAGCACATTGTCAAAATAGAGGTTTTAAATGACAGATTATTGCAAACTGTTTGACAATTGATACGATATTTCATTGCGTCCCACCCCTCACCCGTTTAGTTCATTTTCTACCTTTGTAGTACAGTGAGGGAGTCCTGGGTGGTGCACATGGTTACATGCTAGACTACTAAGTGAAATGAAAGGCATTTCAGACCCACCCAGAGTTGCCTTGAAAGTAAGTCCTGGTAATCTGCTACCAAAAGATCACAGCCTTGAAAACCATATGGATGGAGTGCAGTTCTATTTTGTATACTTGATATCACTATGAGTCAGGATCAACTCAATGGCAACTAACAACAGCAAATATTGGTGGTATAAAGTAGAACTGTATGGAAATTTGGACACCTCTTAAGGTATTTGGGCATGGGCTTAAATCAGTATAAAGAATGAAAGGGCTGAGAATCTAGTTTTAAAACTAATCAAAGTAAATTTCATTGGTATGGCATTCCTGAAGGGCTGGAGGAGGGGATTTACAAGTCTGCTTTGGAAATTGTTTCTGATCAGAATTGTTCTTTTTATTTGTTCCAATATAATTTGTAATTTGAGTTATCTAGAAAGCAATGAAAAACAAAAATTTTCAGTCCAAACCCATAACACACCTTTAAAACTGTCAGAGTAAAATTTATAACCTTAAATTCTTTATTTAAGGAGGGCTGAAAATAAATGAGTGAAAATTATCTTAAGAAGTTAGAACAAAATGAGAAAAAAATTAAGTAGAAAACAAATATATAGAAAGAATGAGTAAACAAAAGCGGATTCTTAGAACAAGCCAATGAAGTAGTTAGATAAATCCCCCTCAAAGCCTGATTCCAGAAGCGGAAAACAAAGGTGGTAGATAAGACAAAGATGTAGAAGAGATTAGAAGAACTTTGCAGGAACATGACGTGCAACTCTGTGGCATCAAATTTTAAAATCAGAAGGATATTTGTCATCAAGTTAGCTAAAATTGAAGTGATTATATCCAGTGCTGGAATGGATGTGGGGAAAAGGACACACACATTTTTGGAAATTTGAAATTCTAAAGTCTTTTTGGAAAGACATCTCACTATCTTTAAATTTTAACACATGAACCTTTTTATCTAGTAGTCCTACTTCTGAGACTCTGTCCTATAGGAAGGAAAGCATATTGTAGTTTTTGTGCATACCTTTTAGGCATAATTGTAGCAGGCATATAGTGTCTTTGTTGCTGCCCCCCGCCCCGTCCCCCCACTCCCCGTTTTTTATTTAACTTATTTCTGCATGGTTTTCTTAATTATTTTAAGTCTTTTCATAACGGTCAGTCAATTGGATGAATCAGAATTTACAATTTACAGTGTATTTAGGGTTTTTTTGCTGTTGTTATTTTGTTTTGCTTTCCTTTTGTAGATAAGATTACTATAAATATTTGTTAGCATGATAGTTTTATTTTTCAATTGAACTCTTTCTTGGTGCAATTTCATTGAAGTGGGACTGCTTGGGCAAAGGGTAAGAGCATTTTTAAGGCTCTTGGCATATTTTTGCCGAGATAGATTGTAGTTAGGATTAAAAAGAGTTTCCACGTTTGCTCCATGCATAAATGTATGAGGATTTAAATATATTTTCAGTGTGTGCTTTCCTCAGTTTCACATGCTATTTCATTTCTGCCTTTCCTCGCCGCCTCCTCTCCAGCCCCCCTTGGCACGCCTTCCTATCCACTGTTGACTAGAGACAGTGTGATACAGCCCCAGGAGCAGTATACTGTGAGTGCAGTGACCTTTCATTCCCAGGTCTGCCATTAAACAAGCGTTCTGATCTTGGCCAAGTCATTTAATAGTCAGTTTTCTCATCTGAAAATGCAGCTTATATCAAATGATTTCTAGGGTTCAAATTCATTCTGGCTCCAAATTCTGTGATGGGGGCGGGGGAGTGGCGGTTGGCTATAAGAGACCTTAAAAGGGTTGTTTATTTTCCTGCGTGCAGGTAAGACTGTAACTAATCAAGCCTCCCGGGAAAAAAAGAATTTGTGTTATGAATATAAGGCTTTAGGGAAGATTTCAGTCTCTCTTAGAATGCCTAAGGTTAACTTTTGCAAAGGAGATTGTTTCTCCTTAGTGTTCTTTGAATAGCCATTTCTTTCAGAAAAGTGCTCTTTGACCATTTTAGGATTGCTTTATCCCTTTTAGCATTCCAGTGAAGTCTATGCTCTCTTCTATTTAAAAAAAAAAGAAATTCAGATGTCCAGATATGTGCAAAATTTTGCATATACATTTAGATTAAGAACCTTGGGTTGATATAGACAGGGGAATCAGATTAGAGAACTGCAAGAATATTAGAAGATGGTGTGTGACAAAAGTGATAGATCAGTGGAGAAATGCTTCAAGAATGATATAGAAAAAGAAAATTGATCCCTGCCTCACTATATACAAAATACTTGCTAGATGGATTAAAGATCTAAATGTGGAAAAACATAGTTGGAAACTTTTAGGAGAAAATTTAAGAAAGTTTGCTTTATGCTATGGGATACTTCTTTATAGCATTTCTTAAAGACTAAAAAACAAATAAATTTGACTACTTTGAAATAAAAATGTAGATACAGTAAAATATAAGTAAAGATAATAGACAAGGTACAGACTCAGAGAAGATATTTTTAGCACATATAACTGGATTTGTATCCAGAACATATAAATAATTTACTATGTATTGATTAAAAAAAAAAAAATCCAGTAAAAAAAATGAGCAAAGGGTATGAATAGACAGAAGAGGAAACCCTAATGGCCGATAGAAATAGGTATTCTTTGATATCGGAAACGCAGGAATGAAATAGATTTGAGCAACACAGTACGCCTCGCTATCCAGAATTACTGTTTGAGGTTTAGCTGTACAAACCCAGGAACCAAATAGATTTGAATAGCAAGGGATATGCGTAGACATTGCTCAATCTCACTAGTTAATAAGGGATGTGCAAATTAAATCCACAAAAGATTGACAAGCATTAATATGATAGTACTGAGTATTGGTGAGGAGGTTGGAAAACAGGAATAGGAGGAATATAATGGGACATGTTGTGTTTGTTACTTATTGCTGCATAACAAATTATTCCAGAACAACAAACTTTATTATCTCAGTTTTTGTTGGTCAGGTATCTTGGCAGAGCTTAGTGAGGTTCTCTGACTCAGGGTGTTTCACGAGGCCCTAGTCAGGGTATCATCCTGGGCTGCAGTCACCCCAGGGCTCAACTAGGGTAGACTCTACTTCCAGATACACTCACATGGCTATGAGTACCTCAAGTCCTTCCTGGCTGGAGAAAGTAAGAAGCAGCCGGCAAAATGGAAGTCAGTCTTTTTGTAACCTAACCTCAGAAAGTATGTCGTATAATTTACTATATTCTATTCATGACAGATTCACACATTTGAATAAGGAGACATGTTATTTGAGCTGTTAATTTATACAAGTAAAATTATTGGAAACAACCCAAATGTTAAGAGAAATGGATGAATAAATTATGGCATAGTTCTTTCATGTGATTTTTACATCAATTAAAATGAATAAATTAGTTTTGTTTCAACGGGCTGTCTTGAAAAGTGTTGACTGAAAAAAAGCAGATTGCAAAAAGACACACACAACATGGTATCATTTATATAATATTTTAAAACACAAAACAGTACCATATTTTTATGGATGCACACATAAATAATACATTCTATAAAGATACTCTAGTTTTAGCATAGTGCTTACCTTTGGGGTGGGAGGGAAATGTTAAATGACTCAAATAACGTGTTAAATCTGAATGGTGACCACATGGGTGTCTAATAAGCTAGCCTCAATTTTTCTGTATGCTTGTAAGATTTCATATATGTATATTTAATCTATAGAATTCCAGCCTATATTTGGAAATAACTTACTTTTTTTAACATTTTGTCAGAGACAAAGTTTTGTTTCATCTGTACTCTCCCCAAGATTGTTTTAATAAATACAACATCATTTCATCTATAAAAATATAATTCAGAATGTACTTTTAAATCAACATACTTTAAATATATAAAACGTGTTTCCCCATTATCATATCTTTAAAAAACTGACATTGAGTCATTAATATCATCAAGTATCCAGACAGTGTTCAACATTTCCTGATTGTCTCATAAATGGAAAATAAGCTATCTCTAATTTATAACTGAGAGCAGAACAGGACTTCTGTCCTTTTTTCCCTCTTCAGGGCACTTGCTGCTTTCCAGAGGAATTTGGATAACTTACACCCAGGAACCAAACGAGACAGGTGTGATTAGGGTACCGTTCTCTCTTTGTGTTCTCTTCTGCAGATACAGTTGGTCCCACCAGGGCAGATCCAGATCCAGGGGGGACAGGCTGTGCAGGTGCAGGGCCAGCAGGGCCAGACCCAGCAGATCATCATCCAGCAGCCCCAGACAGCAGTGACTGCCGGCCAGACTCAGGTAATTCTATTAGTTCTGTCAACACAGACGCACAACTGATTTTCAAGGGTCAGACAACTGAGCCAAATGTTTCATATATAGTAGAAATGTGAGGAGTCGTGACTCAGTGGTTAAGCACTCGACTGCTAACTGAAAGGTCAGCGATTCAAACACACCAGCAGGCCTGTGGGAGAAAGATGTGGCAGTCTGCTTCTGTAAAGATTACAGCCTTGGAGACCCTATGGGGCAGTTCTACTCTGTCCTATAGGGTCGCTATGAGTCGTAATTGAATTGACTGCACACAACAAAAGAAATGGGAAGAAGACCATAAAAAGATGATTTTTTTTTTTCTTTTTTTTTTTTT